ATAATTAGGTAATTGAGTGAGACTCTCAAATAGCATGCTCCTCCAGCTGTAGACCTGGAATAATGTTGTATTGGATCAGTAATATACCCTGCAAAGCTTCCTTTAAAAAAAAAGATTAAACCAAAGATGGTGGAGAGTGAAATATATATTTTTTTTAAATCACCTAATGTTCTAATATGATGATACAAATGTGTGTTACTCTATACTTTATATAATATAAAAAAAGAAAGAAAAAAAAAAGGGAAAAAAACAGTAAACCAATGCCAATTAGCAGCTCACATAAATAGAGTCCAAAAAAACTGGCTCTGAGTTGGAGAGCTGATGGTGTCCATCTTTATTTTATTTTTTTATTTTTGAGTATTGCTGTACTAAATTATTTTGGTTATACATAGGTGTTTGCACTTAATATCACTATTCATTGTTTTTACATACCTTCCCTGCTTACCCTAAAGATACACAATACCTTGGTTATTGTAGTGATTACATAGCGTACTTTCCTTCCTTGCCGAACCTCAACAGTAAGCCAAAACGAGGCCTGAGATCTATAAAGTGTACATGTAAAATGGCAAAAGGGAAAAAAGTCCAAAAAAAGGATTACAGGTTAAAACCTGTATCCAGCACTGATGTCCTTCGGCGCTGGGTCAGGGTCTGCCCACTCTCCTCCCCGCCAACGTCATCCAGTGCGTGAGACCTATTGCGCATGTGCAGCCACCGGTGGCAGCCACCGCACATTCGACCTCCCCATAGGAAAGCATTGAAAAATGCCTTCAATGCTTTTCTTTGGGATTTCAGAGATGCTGGAGGTCCTCACATAGCATGAGGACGTCCAGCGATATTATAGCACACTTTTCATGTGCTTTAAACACGGAAGTGCCCTTTAGTGGCTGTCTAGTAGACAGCCACTAGAGGAGGAGTTAACCCTGCAAGGTAATTATTGCAGTTTATGAAAACTGCAATAATTACATTTGCAGGATTAAGAGTAGTGGGCGTTGGCACCCAGACCACTCCAATGGGCAGAAGTGGTCTGGGTGCCTGGAGTGTCCCTTTAAATATTCTGAATTTAAAGAGGAATTCTTGATCTTCATCTTACAAAGTTCATTGTGTACCATTTGCCTCTACCACCATTCCAGCAGGGATTTAGGTAAACATTTTACAAGCATTTAAAAAAAAGTAAAGACAAAAAAATCTGAATTCATAGACTACTGAGTGGGCAAAAACACAGTAGCTAGTACTTCACTTAGTTCCTGCTCATGAATAAAATAAGGTTGAAAAGGCAAATTAGCCAAATTAGAATGCTGTACCACAAATTGCAATTTAGAACATCACTTCATCAAACAAGGGCTTTTTCTAAACTGCTGTTGGGTCCTGTGACAATAATAGATTCTAAAGAGCAAGTTTAGTTTATGTATTTAATTTGCTTCCCAGTGGTAATTGCAGAACAAATCTTTAACACAAACCAGAAGCAAGGGAACTAATGAACAAGGGCATTTTAAGTAATATCACTGAATTGTATGTATTCTTTTGGCCAAAGTATAAAATTATCTGCTATAGCTATTAACATTGTTTCAATCCCTTTCATTATTTTAAATTACTTCTATGTAGGTCTAAACTTTTTAAAATTACAAAATTTCACTAAAATACTTTAAATCATGTATATCTTAGAAACAACAACTTAAATCATCCCTTACTGTTTCAAACCATCTTAAATCGCACTAATCCCAAACTAATCACTTGAATGTCTTCTGTACTATGAGAGCGGGCCTGAAAATGTGGCTGTTTGAGAGTGTTTTATGGTTAAATACCAAACCACAACCACAAAAATGTAAAAACAATCTGATCTGTTATTTTATCAAGATCTAGTACTCTGCCTGTAAGCTAATAACACACTATGGAGACTGTACATCTACAGCATGTTTTATTCATTAAAAGGGTACTAGAGATCCTATAAGGGGTTTCTAGGTCATTGCTGAGCTTTACGAAATAGAACCATAATAAAAAAGATGTATTCTTAACATCATTTTCAATATTCCTGTGTCTACACAACGCACAAGAATTGTCACCCAGTGATATGTTCCATAGGTGTCCAGGTACAGAAGGATGGATACTGCATTATTGACTAAAAGTTGGATTTAAGAGCAACCCGGAGCATTTTTCAGCAGTGGTGCTGCCGTAAATGCCATAATTTATACAGATTAGGTAACAGCACACACATAAAAAAGTTTTAAGTTTTACAGTGTTAGTTAAAAGCTTCTACATTCTTTGAAGATCAATTGGATGTTGCTGTTCATGCTGAACTAAATATCCTATCTCAGCAAACAAACATGCATTCATAATACTCTTACAACAGTTGAATTAAATACACTTTAGTTTATTTAGCACTTGCACTATTTACTTTGTCTCCCATGTTTAATTAAAGTGTTGGAGCCACCAATATTGGGTAAGTGTAGCGTAGTGGTGGGTTTAACACGATATGGCCATGTTGTGGAAATGAATCCCTATATTTGTTTGCTAAGAGGTGATTTTACGTAGCCTTGTAAAATTAATTTAAAACTATTGTTTGTGTATGCTGTTACTTAATCTGTATACTGCCTTATGACTAGAACCTTTGGGAGGACTGGTAAGGAGATGGAAGGCATCAGACCAATCGCATACAGGACTTGAGGACAACAGCCTATTTTTAAACTATTCTTCTGTTGAGTCAAATAGCAGAAAGTGTTTATAGTGCAAAGTGTTTGAGGATGTCTGTTGAGTGCAGTAGTGAGGCAGAAGGCAGCATTCGTGTAGGACCATTGGTAGGTCAGCAGTGATGGGTATCACTTGGTTTACATGAGACGGACCATCTCACGGAGATCTCCGAGTATTATGTACAAACACTTGGTATTTGGTATTTCTACTCTTGGCCAAACATTGCTAGCCCTCCCGTACATGAACCTCAGAACCGTATATGCTTTTGCTACTTGACTTATTTCTTGTGTGAAAAGCTTCATGTTCCTGAAGTTTGTTAACAAGCCAAAGGAAGGGGCTGGTCTTTTTTCACCAGAACTGATGGCCAATCATCGAAAAACAAGAGGTCAGAGCAAATTAAGCATGTGAGGTCAGAAGAAACAGGAAAGAGAGAATTGAGGGAGAAAGAAAATGGAGCACCTACATTTTTTGAAAATCAGCTGGATTGTGCTGTTAATGCTGAACTAAATATCCCGAAGTATTTTCCTGTTGATACTGCCATGTTCTAATAATACCGTAAGAGCAATATCTACGTGCACTACAGGTAGGATTGAGAGTTACAAGTGTTATGTCATTGTAACTACAAAAAACCTGTAAACATGCAATACAAATGGACCTATTAGTCCTATTAGTCCTATTAGTACTCTGGACATACAAAGCACATATAAATTACCGGTACTCTGGAAAGGTTTTGCAGAACAAATCTACAGTTTGGATCCAATGTATTACTCAATTTTCACTTATTGCAAAGTCCATAGTTTATTTAATCAAATAGTTAGTGGTCGTTATATGAAAATACTTTAAAATCTTTAAATGTGAATCTAAAATGTACATCTCCAGAAAGACCTCTCATTTCTGTCAAGGCCTTATACTGCATTAACCAGCAACAGAAACTTTTTGCTGTCTTGTTTTGGTTAAAAGTGCAGGTGGAGATGGCAGGAAATTTCTGTAAAAAAGTCTATGTGGGTAGAGGGAATATGACTAATGCAAGTGACATATGGAGACAAATGTATTCCAGGCCAATAAAAACTATTGTCTGGGAATATATTTATTGGGAGGACTATACATTGGATCAATTCAAATAGAGAACCATGATTTGGGACTGTGCTGGGAAAGGAAACCTAGAAAGAGAGGGAATAATTCAAGACATGCCGGGACAGGGAAATTTAAGAAGTGGATGGTGAGCATGACTTAGAAAGAGAGTGAATAGGGAGTGGACTGAGGCAAGTAAAACTGTCAAAGAGGGACTGGAGGAGACTGTTGATGGAAAGAGTGACTTGGGAAGGGATTAAATAGCTTGGTATGAGGAGAGAAAGAGTGAATGGTTGGTTAACATGGGATGGAGTGTATATGTGAATGAATTGGGAAAGGAACTATGAAGCAGTGACAACAGAATGGATGTGGACAGTAAAATAGATAGATGGGGAGGCAAACATGACTATAGATAGACAGACAGATAGAAATAGTTGTATGTGAATTAAAGGACCACTGTAGGCACCCAGACCATTCCAGCTAGGGTTAACCCTTTTTTTTATAAACATAGCAGTTTCATAGAAACTGCTATGTTTATGTTAGGGTTAATCCAGCCTCTAGTGGCTGTCTCATTGACAGCCGCTAGAGGCGCTTGCGTGCTTCTCACTGTGAAAATCACAGTGAGAAGATACCAGCGTCCATAGGAAAGCATTGTAAATGCTTTCCTATGAGACTGGCTGAATGCGCGCCCAGTTCCTGCCGCCATGCGCATTCAGCCAAAGAGGAGAAGGAGAGCTCCCCGCCCGGCGCTGGAGAAAGAGGTAAGTTTAACCCCTTCCTCCCCCCTCAGCACCATGGGAGTGGGACCAGGGACGTATTAGCCGCGAGGCAAACAAGGCATTTGCCTTGGGCTGCATTTTCCAGCCTCGCGGCTAACTGACATGCTGGGCTGGGCGGGCAGCACTTGGCAGGCGGCTGGCGAGGGAGCTCTTCCTCTGAGCTGTCTGCTCAGCTCCCTCGCGCGCCGCAGTGTGAGGCTGGGAGCCGGAATATGACATCATCAACCCGGCTCCAAGCCTCACTCTGCGGCGCGCGAGGGAGCTGAGCAGTCAGCTCAGAGAAAGTCAGCCGTCAGCAGTCAGCCTAGGGCAGCACAAAACCAGGATACACCACTGAGTGGGACCCTGAGGGTGGGGGCACCCTCAGGGCACTATAGTGCCAGGAAAACTAGTATGTTTTCCTGGCACTATAGTGGTCCTTTAAGAATCCTGCCATAGAAAAGCATACTTTGATTCTTCAATTTTAAGTCACTTGACCCTCTGTGTGTGTGTATATATATATATATATATATATATATATATATATATATACACACACATTCTGAGGGCCATATACACGAATACATAAAAGTCATATACACGAATACATAAAAGTCTGCATGCTTTTGTTTCATTCTATGTATGTAAGTATATAGTTTGAGTTTCCTTGTCTAATAAATTGAAACTATGATTAATGAGGACACCTAGTAGCTTCTAATAAGTTGCACATGGTGTTATCTATATTAATATATTTTACATGACATTTCAATATATATACATGATTGTTCTGGCAAGAAACCAAGGCAAACGGAAATATTTTGTTTTCTTTCATTTACTGGATGAAACTATTCATTTCATTTTTTTTATTAGAGCAAATGTGAGAGGTTACTCTCTATGATCTAGTGAATGTGTATGTTTATTTTTATATATATTCTACAGACATAGTATTAATTTGTCCTGTTGTAGCAGGTTAAATGAATTGTGTGTGTGTGTAAAATACACATATGCAATGTATGTATGTAGAGGGTTTTACAACTAAGTGTTGTATCTGTCTAGCTCAGTATTCACAATTTAAGTGAGTCTTGGCCCTATAGATAATACACCTGTAAGATTGCTGTATACAAACATACTAATTTGTAAAGACCTTACTTGTCTCTATTTTGATTTTCCCATTTCTGGTCTGATATCTTAAAACCCTTGATCAACATCTGGTTTAGTTAAAGGGACACTGTAGGCACTGTAGGCTCATATAAGTGGTTTGGGTGCTCTGTCCCTATTGCCCTTAGTACTAAGTCTGCCTCCAGTGGCTGCACACCAGACAGCCACTAGGGGGCTTCCTGATTTGAAACAGATCTTTGGTCCGGTATCTGAATCTGGACGTCCTCACGCTCTGCATAGATGGATACATTTTACTTAGTGGGTCAAGAATTAATTTTTTACTGGTTTGTTGCAAATTATAGGCGCTCCAAACTTCTTTTGGATCAACAGTTAAAACAGGTGCGAGAAAGCCTGACCTTGGTGGATGCATGTTTCTTTTCAGCATGTAACTATGTACGGTAGCATCATCACACTTCCATTTCACTTACTCATTCAGCTTTTGTAAAAAATATACAATATTTGATATATATATTAAAAAAAATGATACTTTTTAAAAAGTATATAGCAGCGGTTCCCAAACTGTGTGGCGCGACTCCCTAGGGCACACAGGGGTGCCGCGGAATGTTTCCTCGGTGCTATGAATATGGTGCTGTGGTCCTCTAAGATTGTGACCGGGCACCTTGGAATATCTGCCAGCTGGGAGGAAGTGACAGCCTATCATTTCCTCCCAGCATCATGCAGGGAGACAGCGTGGGAGGGAGTGGAGGCAGCCACAGCATGAGGGGAGAGGAGCACATAAAGTAAGTACACAGGTGGGTAGCTGGAGATATTAAAAATATCACATGTGTGTTTGTGTGTGTGTCATGGTGTGCATCTGTGTGTATTTGTGTGTCAGGGTGTGCACGTGTGTACGTGTGTGTGTGTGTGTGTCAGGGTGTGGATCTCCTGTGTTTGTCTGTATATGTCTATGTGTGTGCGCTCACACATCTGTGTGTCAGAATATGCATCTGTATGTGCATCTGTGTGTCAGCATGTGTATTTTTATGTCAGTTTGTGTATTTGTATCAAGGTGTGTGCATGTATCAATGTTTGTGGGTATCAGGGTGCGTGTGTTTGTCAGTGTATGCGTATGTTAATGTGTGTGTGTGTGTGTGTGTGTATGTGTCGGTGTCTGTATGAATTTGTGTGTATGTATATCTGTGTAATTATGTATGTATGTGGTAGTGCAGGGGATAGCAACCTATGGAATGTGTGCCAAGCATGGCACATCAGGTGCCATTACATGGCACTCAAGGTTGCTAGAGCCAAACAGGCTCTGGCCTATCAGGTGTCCCAGTAAAACTTCAGATATCTGCTAGTGCAATAAGGTGGTGAGGGACAATTCTCAATTTACACATTGCAGCCCTTTGACACCCAGCACTTGTGAACAGAAATCCACACTGGAGTAGAGCAGCCCACAGCAGCTATAGCAGTTTCTGCCCTTGACCTGTACCTGGCCAGACCAGTGCCCACTTGACCCCAAGTAAGCCACCCACACTGCTAGATATACACAGAGCTGCACAATAAGCCTCCCCCCCATACAAATAATGCAAACATCCCACGCACAAACACACACAGACCCAACAAAACCACTGACAATAATAGACCAAGCTTTGAAAATACTCCATTGACTACAATCCTCTGTTGCCTGTCACTCAGTCACTGCCTTACCCATTCACAACGTTGGAATCCAAATTTAAAGATTGGAGTTTATTGTTAAGCCTTCTATGTGCAACAGTGTCAAAAGCCTTACTGAAATCTAGGTAAGCCCTGTCTTCTGCACCACCCTGATCTATAATTTTAGTTACCCAATCAAAAAATCAGTAAAATTAGTTTGGCATGATCTCCCTGAATTAAACTCATGTTGTCTCAGATCTTGAAATCCATGTGATTTTTGATGTTTAACAATCCTATCCTTTAATATGGTTTCCATTACGTTCCCCACTACAGGCCTATAGTTGCACGACTCCTCCCTACTACCTTTATTGTGAATGGCACAACATTCGCTAACTTCCAATCTTCTGGGACTACTCCTGTTAAAAAGCTCTTTTAATAATTTTGGGGGTATTCCATCGGTCCCCATTAATACACACACACAACCCAAAAGGCAGCCTCTCACATGCAATACCTCAAGCAGCCCCATATACAAACCATCAAACACACTATGTGACATATTATCCACACACAATTCCACAAGCAGCCCACATACACAGCCCACATACACAGCCCACATTCATAGGTAACACACCTCAATTTAAAAAAAAATACGACCGGCACACCAGAGGACTTCAAGATTTTGTTTTGGCACAGTACTACTAAAAGGTTGCCTACCCCTGTGTTAGTGTATGTGTATACATCCAAGAAGTCATACACCAATGGAGAGAGGGAAGAGACCACAAAGGGACCAGGTGGAAGGGGAGAGAGAACAACCAAAAGGGGGTAGAAGGGTAAAATGTGACACACAGGGAATCTGGGGTAAGGAAGAAAGAGACAGAGGGTCTGGGAAGGGGAGAATGAGACACACAAGAGGAGCTGGGAAAGAGATTCACAAAGAGAATTGGCATAGAAATAGACACACAGAGGGTCAGGGAAAGAAGAGAAAGAGACACACAGAGGTGCTGGGAGGAGCAAGAGACACACAAAGTGGCTAGGGGAAGTAAGAGAGAGGGAAGTAAGAGACACAAATGACCCGGGGGAGAAAGAGACACACAAAGGGACTCGGGGGAAATAAGAGACATACAAGGTGGATAAAATACACAGAAAGTGGCAATTTATTCAATTAGGGGATGAGGAGACCCTGGGTTGACAGCAGCAGTGGGTTGCAGTGTAAAGCAGATTAGCAGCCAAGTCCCTAGTCTGTAAATAAAATGTAGCATTAAATCGATACCCACCATCATAACCAATGAAACCATCATAACTCACCCCTGCTATAACCATCACAATGAACTGTGTTTGTTTTTATTTTTAGGGTGTCTTTTTTTAAAAAATAACTACAGAACTACATGTCATACTTAGCTCAAACTGCTAGAACCTGCATTGGAGCTGAGATACAGTCTGATAATAATGGATACGGTACCATTACAACAATTGTAATCTATGCCATCATGACTAGAGATTGAAAATTCCCAGTGGTTACACTTTATTGACATTTTTATAAGAATAACTTTATGAAGTTATATTATTACACGATCATAGCGTATGGCCATCTTTTGAAGCTGAGACGTCTTTAAGTGGCCTTTATAAAAGCAAAGGATTCAGCACTCTGAAATTTAATATGATGTCTCTCCATAACAAATGTGTCAGCTGAATAAAACATTCATCTTTGTGTTATAAAAAGCTAGACAAAAGTAATACTTACCAACCTTTACAAGATGGTAGAATTATATTTATTTTGTATATAATTAATTAAATAAAGCTGCACTTTCTAATGTGAAACAATTATGTGTTGTATTTTTGGAAAACAGGCTCTATTCCAGACATTGCAGTAGAACACCCCCAATACTGGGCTCCTTGAATCCCCAGGTTGCTAGGTGTCCGCAAACCTCTAGTCCGGCACCCCCCCCCTTAGTAAACGAGCCCTACTTCCCCCTTTTTTTGTCTTTTTTAACAGAGTGAAACACAATATCCTTATTGTTAGAAGTAACCTCTTAAATGATAACATTTCTCATGGAATAGCCTTCCAGCTAAAGTGGTAGAGGTTAACACAGTGAAGCAGTTTAAGTAAGCGTGGGATAGGCATAAGGCTATCCTAGACATGAGAGAAGGCCAGGGGCTAATGAAAGTATTTACTAAATTTGGGCAGACTAGATGGGCTGTATGGTTCTTTGCTGTCATAGTCTATGTTTCTATGTATTAAAGGACCACTATAGTGCCAGGAAAACAATCTTGTTTTCCTGGCACTATAGTGTTAATAGGTCCCCCCACCCTCATGGCCACCCTCCCGCCAGGCTCTAGGGGGAGGAAGGGGTTAATAGGTCCCCCCACCATCATGGCCCCCCTCCCGCCAGGCTCTTTCCACGAATGCGCACGCGCGGCTCTCATTCAGTCAGTCCATAGGAAGGCATTCTCAATGCTTTCCTATGGACGCTGGCATCTTCTCACTGTGAAAATCACAGTGAGAAGCGCGGAAGCGCCTCTAACGGCTGTCAATGAGACAGCCACTAGAGGCTGGATTAACCCTAATGTAAACATAGCAGTTTCTCTGATACTGCTATGTTTACAGCAGGCAGGGTTAACCCTAGATGGACCTGGCACCCAGACCACTTTATTGAGCTGAAGTGTTCTGGGTGGCTATAGTGGTCCTTTGAGTGGGTAATTTTAGAGATGTTCGGATCAGTAAGTTGATATTCAGTGTTCCCTATAAAACAAACACAAACTGTGTCATCATTGGAGGAGTCTGGTCTTTGTGAGAAAGTTAAGTTGTTCATACTCCAAA